AATGTCATCTTCTCAGCATGTATCTCATGTAGGATCAGCTGGAGCTCCTGCACTTGGCTCACGACTGTCTTGGAGTCTATCATTTTGAAGTCCAGAAATCGTCCAACCACGAATTTCTTCAATCCAGCATCCTCTGTTTTATACTTTTTGTCTAACGACTCCCAAAGCTCTTTAGCAGTATTTATTGGACTGTACACATTATATAAGGTGTTGTCCAATCCATTGAGGATGTAGTTCTTGCATAGGAAGTCTCCGTGCTTCCATGTATCAACAGCTTCAAGTTTGGTAATGTCTGTATCACCCTCATCTAATACTGGAGCAGTCTCAGTCAGATACTTGCTTAGATTCAGAGTTGTAAGGTAGAACATCATTTTCTGTTGCCACCTTTTAAACTCTGTCCCGTTGAATTTTTCGGGCTTCTCCCCATGACTGACAGGAACATTAGGCACGGTAATACTCGTACTTGCCATTTGTCTGTTATATATTGATATACAGACCACGAGTCAAATTATAATTAATTATAACAAGAATAATAATTAAATAATTATTACTATAGTATAAAGCAATCTGTCTTAAGATTGTTGAAAAAGAAATTATGTATCATATACTATATTATAATTTATTTAAATATTATTTGTAAATAATATAATAATCTATATATATATATATTTATATAGTTTAATATCAAGAAAATAAAACTATAAAAGAACCTGATAAAGTCGAGGCTAGAATTTAATTCTATAGCCTTAAGACAGATATGCCCCGCTACGGTGCTAACGGACTCTTCGGCGTCTATCTCCCAGGATACAACGACTTTTCTTCCTTTGGTAGTAGCACTTCAAACCAATGGAATAGGCGAACCGGCTCGGTGTAGTACTCTCTGTTGAACTCAGACTCGGAGACCAGGATTGAACCCTAACTCGGAGACCAAGATTGAACCGAAACTTGGAAACCAAGATTGAACCGAAACTTGGAAACCAAGGTTCGAACCCAATCCAAACCAGTTTAGGTTGAACCCAAACCAGTGGCTGAACCGAACAAAGAAGAATTAGAAGAAGAAATTCAGAAGAAGAGAAGAAGATTTCTGAACTTGGTGTATTTTGAAATGAAGACAATAATGGGTATTTATAGGCTTGTTGGTGCCTATTCTGAATGGGTACACCCATAATCCGAATGGGTGCAACCATTGTTGACCAATCAGAATTAAAAAACTGTTGGTGGTTTTTTAATTTGTAAAGGGTGCAACTCTTGGTTCAAATTCTGATCCAGCCCAGCAAACAAATAATCCAACTCGGCCATTAATTCAGCCCATTTTGATAAGTCCAGCATCAAAATAAAATTACAACCACACAGGCCCATTCCAACTTTGGAGAAAAAGTTAAACCCATTTCACAATCAAGCCCCGCCCCGCCAGGCGGCGCGCGCGTGGTAGTTGGTTCGGATCCAGGCTAGCCTAGGTCCTCCCCCTCTTAAAAACTTGGGTGCCCTTGGGCCCAAACCCAAATCCCATACTAGACATATTTATACTCAAGGTTGCTTTGCTACTTTTTCGATGTGGGACAAGTATTTCCCACTTTATTCACACCCATTTAGGCTTTATAAATCACTTACTTTGGAGCCAATTTCTCATTCACCCGGAAACGGATTTGAGAAAATAAATATACCACGTTCATCTCCTCGCAGAGAGGAACGCGCTCATCAATAGATTCGCAAAAAATTCTTAGCGGAATCTTTTTTAAAAATCCTTCCAAAGTTTGCGTTTTCTAATGCCGTTTCCAACATATTCGGCTCTGACCAATAATTAATCTTATAATTACTAGTGAGAATGAGCTCTTCTATGCCTCTGTTCACTTTGAGCTGATTGATCAACTCCGGCAACGCCCCCGAAGACCAGTCCTCCGGACGGTGAGTAATCCGGCAGACGCGTACATTACCCCGTTGACACAACATTACTTGTTGAATGATTTGGAGTGGAATTAAATCACTGCGGTCCGGCTTTTTGGGGTCGAAATATAGGCAAGGAACGGACCTCTAGAGGTGCTTCCACCGGCTAGACAAGATGGAAGTTGCTAAGGCTTCTTTTGCCGGAAGCAGTGAGATGATTGAACATAGCAGATGATCTGGGAGATTGCTGATTAGGTCTTGATCAGAACCACCAGTGTGGTATGCCATTGTTTTTGCTTTCTTGTACGTTTCTTCCTTCATCTTTATCAATATATTTTCTATGGTAGCCCTAATTTTTTTTTTTTTTTTTGAAAGATTACTAGGGAGTAGGTACGTACTTGAAGATTGAAGAAGCAACAATTTTATTTTCTTAGGATTTCTTTTCACAAACCCAACTTGTCTGCTAATTTGAAACCTGCCTTAATTTCCTGTTCTAATGCAACTAGGAGAACAACACTTGGATGCCAAAAATTAAAAAATAAAAAGAATTTTTTTTACAGATAAGAAAATTATAGAAAATTACCATTTTTGGCTTTTAATGTTGTAAAAAAAAAAAAAAAAAAAAAATTAATGGCACAAATTTACCATTAAAGAAAGATTTGGGCCCGTACCTTATGAAATATGATCAATTCTTTTTATGTGCAAATAAATTTTTTAAAAGGTGGTGTGTGAATAGCAACTAAAAAATAAATAAATAATTCCAACTGTCTAAATTGAGGATCAAGACAAAATATTCAAAAGGGGTGTGTGAATAGCAACTAAAAATAAAAAAAAAATAAAAAAATCCAACTGTCCGAATTGAGGATCACTAATCACTCAACCCTCCAACTGTCAGAATTGCATCTTTTAACTCGGTTCCTTTCTAGGCTCTAAACTCTAAAGATGATAAGACATTAGACACATGAAATTTCTCAATTTTAAGACATTTATGTTAGCTTTGTGAGTTGAGATGCTGTGAAAGGTTTAATGTGAAAAGTTTAGTTTCATCTCTTAATTGAATTTTTTTAATAATTTTAATTTCATCAAATTAAACAGAAATTAATCACACACCAATAGCTATAAGAAATTTCCGTCAATTAAAAAATTTGGTGTTAGGGAGAACTCTAATTAAATAGCGTTCACAATCTGAGTTTTACTCAAATCATACAACGAAATTAGTAGAAGTTTGAAGTTGTAAAAATATAAGAGAATTGAAATCCCAAAAAGAATTGATCATTAAACATCAAATAGAAAACATTACTTTGAAATGAGCTGAAAAAAAAAAAAAAAAAAAAAAAAGAAAAAAGAAAAAAGAAAAAAAGTAATCAATCCACATCAAATTTGAGTGGCATTTGGTGCAGTCCAGTATAACACCGCCGCATTGGACGACTCACAAATATTCGGTATTGTGAGTGCAGTACAACTGTACAACACACTGCAGTAATTAAACACGAACAATTACAGATAAATGAACTTATAGATGACTATTTATAATCGGGTGAAGTTTAAGTTGACATACTCAATCACTGTTCATTACTTTCATTATTAGAATGATTTGTTAATTTTTATTGTATAAATTTTAACAAATTCATATTATAATAATTTGTTAAATTATTTTTTAAACGTGGACTGTATGTAGAACTTTCACTCAAGAAAATTAAAACTTTCAAACGTAAGACAACCCAAGTATTTCAAAACATTCAACAGTGAAAGTTCAAATTTACGTGAGTAAATTTGAAATTTTCATTTGACTGAAATTTGACAAGGTTGACTTCACTTAACTGTAAATAACCCCCCCTCGGTAATTTTCCCAAAAGAAATATTCACGTCCCTGAAAGCCTGAACAATTTTTGTGAAATAACTTTTTTCGATTCCAAAAACAACTTCAAGCAAAATATATATCTATTGGATTGATTTACAAATTAACATACCAATATTTGGAAAAAAAAAAAAAAAAACACTATTCAGCATATCTTATTTTCCCCTTCTTATATACTTTAACAAATAAATAAGCTCAATAAATAAATAAAAACAGACCCAACCAAGGAGGCCACATATTCAAATAGGCGACAAGAAAAGGAAGGAGAAGAGAAAATATTGTTAATCACTAATTATGTTTAGTTGATTAAAAAAATAAAATAATAAAAATGATAATAATTACATTTGAAAAACTAAAGAAATGGAATGTATTTTAATGAATTTATTATCATAACTTTTTTTTTTTTTTAATTTATTAAAAGATAAAATTGATACTAACAAACTTTCATTAAAAAATGATGTGTTTAAACCTCCCAAATTCCTCCAATTTTTTTTTTTTTCCTTTAATAGTCTAATTTCCTTCCTTTTGCTTCCATTTCCCTCCAACCAAACTGAGCCTAAGAGAGTGAAATCAAGTTGCCATGTTGACGGCAAGAGCTCAACCCCCGGCTATGGCATCAAGAGGTCGTACAGTTGAGGAGCTTTCAGTCATGAAGATCAGGCGGTCTCGAAGGAGGACGGAGGCACGACGGAGGAAGGTCCCAGTCCTGAATGAATCTTTTGCTAGAAGGGGTATGGGTATCAATCATTGAGCATGAGTGGAGCTTGAGAGAAATTGAGTGAATGGTTCTTTTGTGCAGGACTGAGTTCTGGGTTGAACTCGTGGTTAATGTTATGCAGTGGTTGTTGTGGCATAGACCAAGTCTTGGTTAATCCCATATTGAACAGAAGATCCATTGCCCACCTTCCATTTGATGAATTGTCGAGCTGAAGATGCATTGCCCACCTTCCATTTGATGAATTGTCGAGCCAAGCCTCTCAGAAGCATAATTTTCCTCCAGCAGCAGGAACTGCTCTGAGCAACCTGCATGTCCCAGAAGCATTGAGATTTAATGAGGTAAGTTTTCACCCACTTAACCCATATGCTTTGCTTATTGTCCTCATTAATTGCCCATATGTGTATCTTAGGATATGCTTTGCTTATTGAAAGTTTGAGAAAGGATTCATAAACAATGTAAGTTGTAGAGAAATAACAACATTGGAGTCCCAAAACAATTGATCCTTTAAAAAATGGAAAACTTTGATTTGAAATGAGTTGGAAAAAATAATGACGTGAAAAAAAAAAAAAAAAAAGGAAAGAAAGAAAGATTCACACCCATGAAGCCAAAACAATTCTTCTTTGATTGATCGATCTCCACAGCTTCAAATACAAACGTTTATATCCCAGTTAAAAAGAAAATTTCAGATTTGTTGAAAAAAATTAAAAATTCAGCATATCCCAGTTTTTGCTTTTTGTATATAGACATTTATTTACCCAGAAAAAAGGCAAAAAAGAAGAAGAAAAGATTCAGCATATGCATTGAACATATAAAAAAACAGAAAACACTAAGCATGTACTAAGTTCTCAAAATTTTCGATCAAATTGGGCACTGAAGTCTTCTCTTGATCAACTCCCATTCTTCCATCAGTGCCCTGGTTCCAGGATTACAGAAGCATTCTTGGAGGCCTTTGGCAGCGATTGCAACACCTTTGCAGCGACTACTCTTTCAGGTGAGCGATTATAGTTCCATTGTATCACAATTTTCTCCAACATAGTAGCATTCTTGATGAGATGAGAAGCAAGCCTCATTTCTCTCTCTTTTCCTGCAAAACCCCTAATCCACACTACCCTGAGCTGATGAGTTATGCTATCGGACAACTCTCTTTTTTCCCAAAACTTAGCCTGATCATATGGAAGTTTTCTTTCTCTAGAATTTGCGTTTGCCTAATTGGGAAAGTTAAACGTACAATTAGAATACTACATTAAAAAAAAAAAAAAAAATGCTAAATTTTCATGAATATTTGATTAATATGGAGGCAAGCCTGATCTTTAACATTGTTTTACATGAAATGAAACTAAGAAAAATAAAAATCACTGCTGTAATTCAGACTAGAATTGCATGCAATATGGTTATACTTACCTTTACATAATTACTATAAGAAAAGAATGTGTAGGGGACATATCCATGTCAGGGTAAGACCAATTGTATAGGCAGAATGTATGTTCTAGGTACATTGACCCTCACTCGAGATGTATCAGCCAAGCATAGCGTCTCGACCCCGGACTCTCGAAAAACAGATTCGGTGGGGTCCATGGAGCATATTCACCTAAACTATAAGTCTAACCAGTGAAACGATGTACCCACGTGCTCCGGCTGCAACACTTATAGTCACATTAATGCCTCCCAGCTATCGCCGCGTTCGAAGAGATGGGCATTTAATGCGATTGTACCCTAGTTAGAGCAAAAAGACCAAGGCAACCCTACATGACCCAATAGGGTCATGATGACTACTCTAGCAAGATGGGGCCAGGTCCAGCGCTAAACTCTCAAGAAAACAAGCATTGGCTGAGACCATAAATAAACAAGTCCTTACACCATAGGAAAGGGGGAGAAAAAAAGGCTGTTTGGTCCTCTTGAATCACCTTCTGTATTTAGATATCACCATCTTCTATTGTATTTGATTAATCATAAATAAAGAACCCCTACAGAATGATGAGAAGACTACATTAAAAAAATGCTAAAATTTTCATTATTTGTTGAATTTGGATGCAAACCTGATCCTTAACATTGTTAATTTACATGAAATGATGCCAAGAAAGACAGAAATCACCGTATTCAATATGGTCATGCTTACCTTTATCATTCATTACTATAAGAAAAGAATGCTAATATACAGTATACAAGTAAACTAAAATTATCATATAACTTTAATTCTGGGATTGGATCAACTTAATTACCTGATTTGTGATGTAGATCTTCTGTAAATGGGCACTAGCGCTAAAGATGAAAGCGAGTAAGACATTGTCTCTTAAATCGTTCAAGTCTAATTCAGTGCATAACTCACGCAAATTCGCCATAGAAAGATAGTCTCCTCCATGTTCAGTACTACTTCTCTAATGAGATATTAAAAGAAAAGGATTAATAAGTATTTATTAAAACTATATATCATTGAATGGCATTAGATTGAGAATCTGAGTCCTATTAGGGGGCAATATTGTGGGTGTGTGCTTGTTTATTTAAACTTCCGAAAACATAAATGTGTATTTAGAGGAGAAATTAACTTACCAGAAGACCAGAACATCGTTCGAGAATCTCTGAATTTGTGAGATTTGTAATATCCTTTTGAATCTCTGAATTTGTGAGATTTGTGATATTCTTATGAGCTTGAAATACTCTAAGGTTTGGGCAGTTAATAAAAAATCTTCTGGAGGAGGTTTCAACATTATGAACCACTAGCACAGTGACACCATTGCCACATATATCCACCTCATTTGTGTCAAAGTTCCGGAGTTCGAAAAACTTCAACTTGTGATCAGAAATCTTAAGAACATTTAATCCAATACAAGAACACAAGCTCAAATTCTCCAAGAACTCACAGTGAGATTTGATTCTGAAAAGACTATCTGGGGATATTGGAATGTGGATGAGTTTTAAGGTTGTGAGATGCACACAACCTTGAAAAGCAGCAATGGACTCGGGTATGAGCTTGTTGTCCTCACTTCCGAGTTCGAGAACACGGAGAGTATCACACCGGTGGACACTAGCTGGCAACAATGACTGATCAAGATCATAGCAGCCTTTGAAAATCTCTGAAATTGTGAAGTTTCTACATTTATTAAATCGAAGCAATCTAAGGTTTGGACATTTAATATAAACACTTGTGGAGCCAATGCTAACATGGTCAAGCAAAAGTATAGTGACACCCTTGCCACATATGACCATATTCTCTAAAAATAAGCTCCGGAGTTCCAAAAACTTCAACTTGTGATGAGAATTAATCTTAAGATCAATTAATCCAGTACAAGAACATAGGCTCAAATTCTCCAAGAATCCACAGTTAGATATGATTGTGAAAAGACTATCAGGGGTAGACATTCTTACAGAGATGAGTTTTAGAGTGGTGAGATTCACACAACCTTGAAAAGCAGTAATGGAGTTGGCTCCGAATTCGTAGTTATTGTGTTCTAGGACACGGAGAGTTTGGCAGCGGAAGACACTAGCCGGTAACATAGTAGGGTTCTCATCTGACCAATGAATTTCAGCAGTGAGAATGAGGTCTTCTATGCCTTTGTTCACTCTGAGGTCATCGATCAACTCCGGCAACGGCCCGGACGACCAGTCCTTCCGATGCTGAGTAATCCGGCAGACGGGTACATTACCCAAGTGACACAACACTACGTGTTGAATGATTTCGAGTGGAATTAAACCGTACTTGCCCGACCTTGGATTTTTTTTTTTTTTTGAAATCCAGGCGAGGAACGGACCTCCATTGGTGCCTCAACCGGCTAGACAAGATGGAAGTTCTTACGGCTTCTTTTGCCGGAAGCAGTGAGACAGTGAGATGATTGAACGTATCATCAGATGATCTGGGAGATTGCTCGTTAGGAGATCTGGATCAGAACCACCTGTTTGGTAGGTCATTCTTTCTGCGTGCTAGTACGTGTCTTCCTCCATCTAGTTTTAGGTGTCACAAGGGAGATCGGTTGAAAACATATTCAATATTGGAAAAACTAATTGAGATTATGGATAACCAAATATTCTATTTTAAAAGTTTATTTTTTAGTTTATTTTAATTAAATAAAATAATTACAAATATATCGAGAATTATTATTAAGCCTCAAAATATTCTTCTAGCCCTTATTGTAAAATATCAAAAGAATCTTTTTATAATCATAAATTTTCAAAATACTAAAAAAATAATAAATAAAACTAACACCTTGCTTAATACTAATAGCATATTAAGGTGCTAAATTTAGCAGATGTTAATTAAGACCAAAAGACATCCACCAAAGCTGAAATAAAAGGTATTAAGTACTATAAATATAAGTTACAGAGATGGAGTCCAACGTAAGGCATGATCAAGAATGTCATTTACATAATGTGGTAACTACTTGTAAGATAAAGAAAATTATTTAAGAATGAATTTATACTTGGAAAAAAATTCGTAATAGTTGTAGCAAATATCTATTTAGGCAAATGACATTTATTTACAAAAATTTGCATCTTTTTTATTAGACAAGAACCATTCTCTTCTAAGTTAGAATATAAATTTATAATATATATATATGGTTATAATGAAATTATGAGAGCAACCTTCTAAACATATATGAAGACAAACCATTGGATTTTATCTCCTTCATAGAAGTAAAAGATGTGCTATGAACTAGTTTTAAATTATCTATTTTAATATTATAAAATTATATAATTTAAAAAAGGATATTTTGGTATTTTGGAATAAGAGTTTATAGGGCAATTTGGACCTTAACAATAGTTCTTGATGCATTTGTAATTATTATTTTTAATTCATTCAAAATGAAAAATCAATTTTTAAAATTGATCAATTTGTTATTTAGGACTACTAACTCTATCTATGTGTAATTTTCTCATTATAACGTACCAAAAAAGAAAAATTTAGTATTGTAAATGAATGAGAGAGAGAGAGAAAAAAAAAAAAAAAAATTATTTAAGAATATAAATCCATGTAAATATTAAGATTCTATACAAGGAAGAGAGAGAGGAATAAATAAATAGAGTCATTTAAGGATGGGGTCTAATATTTCTGTATCGGTTAGAGTTTACTTCCTTCGTCCCAAAATAAGTGTCATGTTTTCTTTTTTTGTCCGTCCCAAAATAAGTGTCCACTTTCCTTTTTCAAACAATATATTTCACATCATTCCAAAAATGTCATTTGAGTTTAAATTTCAAATTTTAATATTTAAAACTTAAAAGGGAAAATTTTTTAGGCCGACAATACATGGTTCCACATGTTTTCTTTTTTTATCCGTTCCAAAATAAGTGTCCACTTTCCTTTTTCAAACAATATATTTCACATCATTCCAAAAATGTCATTTGAGTTTAAATTTCAAACTTTAATATTTAAAACTTAAAAGGGAAACATAGTAATTTTTTAGGCCGACAATACATGGTTCCACATGTCCCCTTAAAAATTACTACTCGACGGAGGGAGTAATTAAAAAATGTAAATGAGGCGGAGAGAGAAAAGTGAGAAAATAAAATTTTATTTTAGGATATAAATTTTTTAGGCCCAACATTAAAATTTTATATTTATTAGTTTTTAATAAAATTAGGAAATAATTATAATTATATAAGGAAATTTAAATTTTTGAGGCCCTTCCAAATTGGAGGCCCTAGGTGACCGCTTGGGTCGCCTATGCCCAGCGCTGGCTAGCAAACGCTCAACCCGAATGTGTTCGGGTGCGCCATCCCGAATAAACAAGGTGACCGACTCAAAAAAATTATCCTTGCCTATGAAAAATTATAATTTATTATTTTAATAGCATAAATTTATCATAAAAGAAATGGTATTACGGAAGAAAACTCATAAAATTGATAGTAGACATGTATGATATTGTGAGTTGAGATGGCGTGAAAGGTTTAATGGGAAAAGTTTAGTTTCATTTTTTTATTGATTTTTCCAATTATTTTAATTTCATCAAAACCTAAATCAATCATGCAAACCAATAAATATAACATATACCCATTATCGTAAGAAATGAGAGTGGCCCACGCCACCCCCCGGGCAACCGGAATTCACTATTCTGTCCGATTTGAACGTGCAATTACATATATCCCCATATAATTAACATTTTAAAAAAATAAATAAAAAAACATGAAATTGCAAAATTCCTTGGATACCCCTAAGGACTAAACTGATGGCTTGCCAAAATTTGTCTGGGTGTGCCTCAGTTCCATTCGTTCATTCAAGGAGATTAGAGGGGGGACAAATTTAATTTGGGTTTCAGTGTGCGAGGGGCCAATTTTCTCGAGCTGTACTCGACCACCGCATCGTGGAACCAAAGCGATTCTGAAGTCTTATGACACAGTGTTTTCTGCCGCCGTGGATGGCGACCGGAAAAGGTGTAGAGGCGATGAGGAAGAAGTATAACAGAAGCAGTGAAGAAAGAAAGGTTGTCGAAATTTGACACTTCTTCATTAAGTGGTCAAATGGCTTATCCGTCCATACCAGGGACGGACACAGGGGTAGGCAAAGGTGGGCTGTAGCCCACCCAAAAAAAAAATTTTTTTTTACTATACTAATATATTAGCCCAGCCCAAAAAAAAAAAAACTTATTGTATTAACCCACCCCAAAAATTTAATAAAGCTCAAGTAAATTCAGCCACCATACTAAAATAAAGACCTAAACTAATTTATTATTATTCATGTTTAATGTTAGCCCACCCCACCTAGAAATCCTGAATCCACCCTTGCTCATAGAGTCATAATACTTCCAAAAGTGAACACTTTCAAAATCAATTTTATGGTCATAAATTTTTGCACATGATTAAATGTTGACTATTAATTCCAAAAGTGCCCTTCATTATGACCATTATACCCTCTGATCTTATATACGTATAACCTTTGGCCTCTCTTTATTACAATGTAACCCATTTTTCCATCCACTTCTCTTCCTCTCTCTAGAACTAGGGCCGGCCCTCAGATTTCAAATATTTTGAGAGGCTTTAGGCAAATTTTTAAATGTGAGACCCTTAAGTTTCGCACGTGCAAAAAAAATTATAAGAGTGAAAAATTTTCACACGATGTTTTTAAATTTTATAGCTAATTTAATTGTGGGCATGTGCACTGTGCATAAGACAACTATCTAATGACTATAATCTTCGTTCATTAAATCTTCATGTTCATTGACTAACTTTCTATGAAAAAAAATATAAAAAAAAATATAACGGTGGTATGTATCTTCATATAAAAATAAAATATAAAAAAAAAAAAAAAAACCCTTAATTTGGCACTTTTAAGTATGAGCATAATTTAGAGATCGAAAAAGTTAATTATGACCTCAACGGCTCAACCCACTAGAAGGGATCCTTAATTTTCGTAGGATTGAATGTGAAAATGCAAAAACTTATGAGGAAAAGGGGTATGATTGCTGCTATTGTGAGATTGGAGTGGAATTAGGGGGAGGAAAAAAAGAAAAGAAAAGTGCCTGCCATAGATAATGGACTCGATCGCCATGAAAGACACATGTAGGAAGGCACACATTTATTAAAATACTAAGAGAACCATAATGTATTCATTCAGCTTTTGATAGCCATCACACACAGTGACACACACACACAAAAAAATCCTAGTTTGGAAGCTACTTTTCACTATTGGAATTAAGGTAAAGGCCCGAATCAAACGGACCAAAGTTAGAACAAATCAAATGATGAGATGAACGAAAGAAAGAAACATATATAAAAGATCGATTCATGCAAAAGGAGAGAGAAGAGAGAAGAGAGAAAGAGGATGAACATACCTTGTCACCTGAGGCGATAGCGGAGGCTGCGTCCTGCGGAGTGTCGAAGCAGATTGTGGTCTGAAACTTGCCCCAACTCAATACTCGGTTTTTTTAATTTTTACATCCCTATGGGCCTCAAAATTTGAGGCCCAAGCCGGCCAAGACTTCTCCTAACTTAAAATATTTTTTTCTCCATCTTCTACGGTCCTCAAAATTTTGAGGCCCTCTAAAATTTGAGCCCCAAGGCGACCGCCTTGGTCCCCTTGGGCCAGGGCCGGCCCTGTCTAGAACCATCAAATTCCACTATTATATGAAATTATCCAGTTCTTCTTTCCGCTAAAACTCTTACACATGAACCCCAACGAACAAAAACATTTGTAAATTCAAAATAAAAGTTTTAAAAAAAAGTAAAATTAGATTAATTAATATTTTTCTTGGGAGCATGTGATGAAAAACTTACACAGCTAAACAACTGGTTTCTAAAACCAGCCAACGACTGAGTAAACTGGTTTCATGCTAAATCTGAAACGGGGTTTTGCAATTCACTCCTCTTTCCTCATCAATTCATCATCCTGGCCTTCCATGAAACCAGTTCCTCAGCTCTCAGTTCATTTTATTCTTCCTCTCTCTATATATATGTATGTATTATAATGTTTTAATTAATGTCCAATTGATTGCCATATTTGATGCTTGTGCCTAATATTTTAATCCTGATTAGGGTCTGTCGATATATATATATTTTTTTCGCGAGAAATAATTATATGCTGATACAAACAGACAAAGACCCACAAACAAACATGGTACTACAGTGATGTTCCAACTCCATTCTCTCTATTCCCCACTCACTCACACACACAAATATACATGGCCATAGCCATTTACTGATCTACATCACCATCGCTGATCAATCAACAGCCAAATTAAGGTAGTTCTCACTCTCTGATTTGGTTCCAATTTATGCGTAGTAAAATTGTTCAAATAGATTTAGTTTTAGTTCATGTTAGGATTAGAAAAGAACAATTCTTGTGTGCAATCCCGTGTCATTTTTAGAGGAGATGATATAAAAACCTCAACTTATATTTTTTCTTTCATTAAATAATTTAATCTATTGAATAACTAAAGGTTGCCATTTTTAGAAAATTATTTTACAGTCCAAAATTGCAATTTCATATGACCATGAGCTTAGAATAACGTAACAGTAGGTGGGGAGATAACGGCGATAATCGGGAGAGATTAAAGATACCATTGACATTCTGATCCCAAACAACCTTTTAACTCGAAGGTTTAGACCAAGGGTGGATTCAGCTTTTTTGAATG